CTGGAGCCGAGGGTTGATAACCCGACTCAAGGCGGGCACACAACAGTCCGTGTTAATGAGTTAGAGTAATTGGTGCAACTTTGGCTGTAGGCAAGCTCCTAGGGCTCAGATTTCGGAGCAGGAGGCTTGCTCTGGGACACCTGTGATGGTTTCTTCCTCTGCCACCTGCCCGTCCCCCTTGGACACGCAGTCCTGCTGCAGGAGGGCTCAGCTGCTTGCACAGTGACTGCCACGGTTTGCAGCTCGGGGTATTAAGGTAACCTGAAATTGGAACTGCTTTACCTTACCACACTGAGCTGTGACTTGCAGTTCAACAGCTGCTACGAGAGCAGCTGATCTGCCCTCTAAAAAAAGGCAGAGGGGACAGTGGAGGGGACAGAAACCACTACAGCTGCTCCAAGGTGAGCCATCCCCGCTGGCGAGTGCAAACCTGAAGGGCTTTCCTACGTGCACAATCCACGCGTTTGTAAATCATGTATAAAATTACAAGGGAACGTGGTCATTTGCTGTGGCAGGATTTTGAGCGTATTCAGGCACATTTGCTACTGGTGTAAGCTCAAGCAGGCAAACATCTGGTTGAATCTAAAGGGATGTTTACTATTGTACTGGTTCAGAAATAAAACCTTTTCATTAAATGAGGGTGACCAACTGCTAAGCCCAGCTCATCCCAGCTAGCTTGCAACTAAAAATTACGGCTTACGCTGCCTGTTGTTGGACTGACCTAACTGAACTAGTTCAAACGTAAATTAGTGCAAGCCTGTATGCAGGTGAGCCAGAAACAAACCCAGCCTGAGTTAGTGGTTGTTACCTTTGACTTTTTGCTGAGCAGACTTGGCTGTTGCTGGAGCTTTAGGCAGCTGCTGTGCTGGGTACTCCTGGTACAAGACCCGAGTTCTGACTGCAGCGAGGGGAGAGCCGCGCCAGCCCGTGGAGAAGCGGAGCGTTGAGAGCAGTGGTCCCCAGCTGGAAAATCACCTGGGAGGTCAGCGCTGGGGGTCGGAAGCTGGAGGGAGGGAGGCCAGGCTGTGGTACAGGGGATGGGTTCCTGCCAGGGCAGGCGGGAAGCAGCCCGCATTTCAAAACGGAGAGACAAATCACGGTCCCTTGCAGCGCGCTCGGACTACGGAATTTGTCCCTTCTGGTAATGGAAACGTGCCACAGTAAAACAACCTGGCAACCCGCTCCTAGGTCAAGTGGTAGAAAGGGATTACTTCTGACTGTGTAATGGAGTAAGGGGACGTAGAGTGTTGCGGCCTCACGTCACGGAGTGGTGCAGATTTATACTTGGCGACGCCCGATGCATTTTGAGGCACAAATCACATCTGTGCTGTACAGAGCACAAGTATTTCACACCGTCTCCCGCTGCCCAGTGAAAGCGCCTGCAGATGCTGCAGTTCAGCATTTACCAAACCCAAACCAAGCCCAGGCCCCGGTCCCGCGCAGTTGTGGTTCGGCGCCCGCCCTTGCGCTAGGAAGGGCGCGCAGCACCTACGTTGGTTCGCATCGTACGCGCCTCACCACAGCCAGTTACGCCCCTGGCTGTGACTGGGGCGGCAGGACAGAGTGCTGCTGTAGCGGGGGATGCTTGGTTTTGCTGAGTGAAGCGAGAGCTACTGAAGATGTCACGAGAAGCAGCCGCAGGAACCGGTGAGCACTTCTAGCTTCTGCCTGAAAGCTAAAGGCTTACCACATAGTTTGAAACGGGGTTACCAGGCCTGGTGCACGCCCCCACCTGTTCTTGCTTGCGCATTTGACACACGGGTGTTTTTTCTCCGAAATGTGACTATTTGATGATAAGACACTGCGCAGAGTTGGCTATGAACGTTTATTAACATCGCATGGAAATCTGTACTCCAGAGAAGACACACGCTGGCGTGTGAACATACCTACACAGAGTCCAGGGGAACAACGCGAGCTTTGCAGGCTGCTCCTTTGCAGCACTCGAGGCTGATGTTCCTCTAAGTTTCTCCTACAGATCATCATCTCAACTTCCAGCACATTGTTAATGATTTTAAGTGAATGATTCCAAATATTAAAAAAAAACTCCACCACCTTAAGTTCTGGTTAGTGCTATTCTCGATCTGGATTGACTGTAAAAAGGCCAAAAATGACCGCCTGGGTTTTGACTTGCAAAACCAGATGTTTATGGCGTACGCTGACACCTTTCAACAGCAGCCAGAATGCCAGCCACTCCAGTACCTGCATGGGTTACACCTTGTTTACTCCCACAGTAACAAGCTAAATTCAAACCATGTGCATAAACCAGTCGTTCTTACAAGCAGAGTGAAGGGTATTGCGGCAAGAGGTGGTCATGGTTTCTACAGAGACCATTAAAAGCCTCGGCAAAAGAGCGGCATTAAACACAGCGACAGGGGCGGAGGAGGCAGGGCTAAGCTGTGTGACCGGAGGTGCCTTTCTTTCAGGTGAGCCTCCAGAGCACAGCGGCAGGGTCTGAGCAGAGGCAGGAGGCCGGAGGAGGAGAGCATCGTTCAGCCTGGCACCAGCAGTTTCTCCTGCTTAATTCTTCCCTTGGTTCTGGAAAGCTCGGGTTGGCGCTCTCGTTCACCCACAAAACGGGGCAAGGTAACGACAGAGTAAGGACTTAAATGCTCTGCTAATAGTGCCAAGGTTTTAAGACTGAAGACAACAAATAATACTGTAAGTTGAGGCAAGTTTTATTTAGACTGTACAAACAGGGCACTGGGAAAAAAAAAACAGTGGCTTGATGTTGGGACCAGTTCTATGAAATAAGTGGAGTAAGAAATTAAAAGGCACTAATCTTAAGAAAAGACACTCCATATATTCTAAGAATATAATTCATTTAATACTGTTAATCTGATAGCACAAAAAATAAAACAAGCTATGATCCCCAAAATAAACTTTAAAAGCTTACACTTAATATTATTGCCTGAAGATCATGGTCTTTAAATTACATATTGTGTTTTAAAGTTTGCACAGTGAAGACTGTCTCAAATACAAGGCCACCTTTCCCACTGCAATAATTGTATCCTTGTCCCAAAACACGCTTTCTTTTAACAGAAGTAAACCGAAAATGACAACTCCACAAGAATGCTTTCACTGGTCCCAAAAGGCAGTCTTTCAGGCAGGTCTCACTTCCAAATGTAGGTATGGAGGAAAATGCTTGAAAACTTGACTAGAAAACAAAGGCAGCTCACGCGTTCCCAGGATGTTAATACAATATAAAAAAATTACTTTACAGGCACATGAAATGGCACAAAGAATGCTGTTTTCCCTTTACAAAAATAATGCTCAGGCTCTTCAGAGCCCCAACCCAAACAGGATATTCCCTTTTGTTTATTCTTTCCCAATTTGTAAACAATCATGAATTAAGTTAGCGCTTATCCAGTGATGGACACTGATTAAAACAGTTTTTCATTTAAACTTTCAGACTGATCAGAGGCTTCAATGTCTATCTACACATGTACGCAACAGGAGGAAGTCAACAGCAAGCCTTTCACGATAGTGAACTGCTGTGGCACCAGGTAATTAAACCAGCTCCAAGGTGGAAAGCAAGAACAACTTTAATGGTGCATAGATGAAGCCATCGCTTGTAGGCTCTCATGCGTCACAGGAAGCGCACCTTACACGCCCAAGGAACACTGACAGGTTACCACTCGGATCTAAGAGGCTTCGTAAAGCAACAGACAGCGCACATGTAAGCAAGCGACAAGCGATTGAGAATGCAGAGTCCTTCAAGAGAAACACAAACTGATCAAATGCAGTCTTTATATGACAATACTTGTCTTGTAGTAAAATAGCAAAGACATGTTTTGAAGCAAGGTTACAATCAGCTGAGGCTGGTCAGTATGCTACAGTTAAACCACATTTAACATACCTGAACCACACCGCTGCTACTCAGAGAAACACTGTTCATCCATGGCCCAAAACCAGGTTCACAGAAATTTAAGAATTCTTATCTTTGCATCAGAAGCCATTACACACAAATTTTGCATAGTTTTGAAGGTAAAATATTTTGCTTTTCTGTGGTATCAGAACATAATTAAACCTAAAACAATGCTTGTGTTCAAAGTATATACCTTATTAATGAGGGAAGAGTCAAGACGTTTATTTCAGTGAAAAATCCAGGTCAAAAGCTGTATTCAAGATCTCAAATCTCACAGTATTTATTTACCATGCAAAGGAAGAATTCCACAATCAGTCTTCTGAAGAGCTGCCTCTAACTAGGTCAGGTCTGAAATAAAATTTCTCTGCAGCAGACTGAGTTTAGTGCAGTTTCCGTATTCAAAAGATGACTTTCAGTAGTACAAGCCATGTAGTAAACTCACCGGCGTAGTTGGGGCACAGAAAAAGCATGACCGTCTTTAGTTCAGAGCGCTGCATAGCTTTTCTTTGCAAGACAAAATGTCAATGCCTATTGTCAAGAATTACTCTTACAGCACCAAACACTTCAGTCAATGCTACTCTACTTCACAGTTAATTTGGTAGTAAAATGCTCTACAAGAACTTCTAGACTGTCGGCCACTTGATCAGTGCTACAGCACCCAGCTAAGAGCTGAAGGCGAGACTTCTTTAAACCCCAGCACTGTGGAGGTCTTGTTGCAAACGCCTGTTTTGCCTTTCTTCAGTGCCTTCCAACTGAGGATCTCGTGGCGCTTCCACATCCGCTAAGAACAACGTGCTTTTTGGTGGGTTTTTTTTTAGGATTGAGCGACACAAATCAACAAGAAAACGTGCTGGAACTTAAGACAACTTTTATATAATTTGACATTTATAAGAACTGGTGAGATTCTGCAGGTGTCTGAAGTTTCTCATTTTGCTACAGTTGACAGCCTTCAAAAGTTGGGGGAAAAAAATGGGGGCTGCTGTTTTCCTGTCAGCTTCTGCAACAGACATTTTTCTTTAACCAGGCTGTCCAAGGGAGATTTGGTAGTTGTAGTCTTTGCAGATGTGTATTCTGTTAATTCAGCGTTCAATTATTTTTAAAAGAGCATTCCAGTTCACCTACAAAACACATGTAAAGGCGGCGGCACAGGATTCCACTGTACCTAAGCGTTCATATCCTGTACACAGGCTAAGGACTTAGCCTGCATGGTACGAGCTGGACTTACTTAGCTGCAGCTATATAGTTCCCTACTGTAAGTACAATTACAGCAGTATAGCTTATATACAGAAGAAGGGAAAGAAGCTATACTGGTAACAGACACCTTTGTGGCCTCCTCCAGCCTGAGCATTAATTTATCACATGGGGGAACCCAGGCAGCTGACTCCAATTAACCATTTTTTAGAGGATGCTGGGAGGGGGAGGGATCTGGGGCATATATAAACCAGAGCCAACTCATTTGGAAGGGCAAAAGAAAAAAGATGGCAGCATGCAGAGGACTTGGGATGCAAGCAAGGAAAAAGAGGGCGGAAAAAAGAAGATGAAAGCAGCTCTGGAGAAGAAGCACAGCAACATGGAGACACCCGAGAAAAAAAGGTACTGTGTTTGAAAAGGAGCTTTCAACAAGCTGGGGCTAGTGTAGCTAGGAAACTTGGGAGAGATAAGGGAGCCTATGGAGAAATGGGTATAAAAGGCGTATGTTTAAATAAGAGGATTTTCTCAGTATTTACCAAGGTCCGCTATCCCACTCCTCTCCTGCCTCTCCACACCATGCCAATCTGATCAATCTGTCTACCAAGTAACAGCTTGGTGACGAGCACTTCTATACTAGTAACACTACACTTTCAACACTGCAGAAGAGCTGTATGTAGACCAGGCCAAATGTTTCCCTTTAAAGCTCGCTTTCCACAGTTAGTGCTTGCAAAAATCAACAGAAATGCATTAAGTAGGTAAAAACCAGGTTACAAGTATCAACCCCTCCTAAGTTTCCTTATAAATAAATGCCTCAGCTTCAATGCAGCTCAATCAATGGTTATTTGCATTTAACACACACTGTTTCAAGGAAAGTCAACAACAAGCTTAAGAGTTAACAGAAAAGAGCAGCTTCTAATACAACTGCTTAGAATACATAAGCTTCAATTATTATCCTTTAAAGAGACCATCATTTTAAATGTACTACCTTAGGACAGGTTCTCTTAAAACTAAGTTGTCTTCAGTCCTAAAATTGCATTTTTGTTGTTGCTTTTTTGTTGGACAGTAATGCACAAGTTGCATGTTTGATCTAAGATTAGGGCTCTTCCTACTGAGCAAGCCAGAAAAAGTCCATGGAAGTCTCAACAGGAAAGGTTTTCTTCCCATACTTCTCTGCTATAGACTGGTTCAGTCTTCTCCAGCTTAAGGCCCAATAGTTTTAAAAGTGAAACTAAATTCTGGATGATGCAACTATGGTATGAAGGTCAGGCAGTGACTTCAGTTGTATGTATTCCAAATGTATATTAAAAGAACAGTCAAACTGCATCAAGCTGGAAAATGGGCAATGCTAGCAATGTGCCATTAAGTCATCATCCCACCTCAAACAATGCTAATGATAGCCAGGAAAATGAAGCAGCAGTGTAAATCGGGTAGAAGGAATCATTCGTTCTCATCTGGGTTTTGAGGGTCAAATATTTTGACATGCGTGAATGGGAAGAGCCCTTTTCGACCGTTGACTTCTCCTTCCCACTGACCGTTTATATTCATCCTTGTAACCTTCACAATATCTCCAACCTGCATAATTTAAAAAAAAAAGTTATCACACATGAGAATCTAACCTCTGATACAAATACAAATCAAATGAAGAGGAACAACAAACACAACGCCTCATAGGACACCCCCCCTTCTTGGCATAAGGTTCAATTGAAAAGAAGAGTTACTAAAACACCAACATTTTGCTGCTAGACTTGATAACGTTGTCTGCACTCTTCTTCAGACTCTTAACTAAATGTATGTTTACATATTCAGGCAAATTGCTGAACTAGACCTTTTCCTATAGGAAAGCTTACAACTTCATGCAACAATGTATTTAGCTTATACCTAAGCTAAGATCACTAAAGCTACCATCAGTAATGAGACTCAACACCCATTCAAAAGAGCCCAGCACTCATACTGGTTTTAGCATCAGCTGGCTTAGTTCAAACGAAATTTAGTTTTTCAGAGCAAGATTCCTATTGCAAAGAAACCTTTACTTGAAGTTCTAGGTCTGATTATCAGAGTCTAAGAAGCTTCTGTAGTTTCTAAAACAATAGTACACTTCTGAAGCAGACAAAAGCAATCTCAAAACTTTTAATAAAGTATTAGATGTCCAAATTCCATCTTAATTTGTTTTCACCTCTACTTCCTGCCAAAGAAGTTGAAACGGGAATGATGACATCTTGGGCCTTTCCTACCATAACCATGTCTCTTCCTATTGGCAGTGAAAGATGAAAAAAAGCTAAACTATGATAAACCAAGAAACATCAGCCCAAATGATTATAAGTTCTACTCTTATCATTGTTCAGTGCCTGTATTTAATTGGGATTAGGATAATTTACAAAGCAGAATATCCCATTTGACAAGTAGCCTTTAAGACCAGCTGAACAGCCATTTCTCCCTTAAATGCTTCAGAATAGCTGAACATGTGGTCTGTTGCAGCAGCTCTCTAACTTTGCACCTCCCTTCCTGTTTACTTCATTTACTCTGTGGTAACTATAGTAAATATTAGAAAAGTGACACCAGCAGCTAATAACTAATTTCACGAAAAGCAGAACCAGTCTATGACCAATAGCCAACAGTTCCTAAGTTTCTTCCCCAAACTCTGTCCAAACTCTTGTAGTTGAGTCTAAGTTACCAAGGTACTCCTGTGAAACCCAAAGGTAACTAGTTTTGATCTTATTTACGGAAAAACTAGATTTTAGTCCTTGTACAGTATGTATAACAATTTGTCTACATTGCCTAAATAGTATTAAAATTTAGAATTAATGCAGATAGTTTAAGGGCCTTGGCCAAGGGCCTTAGTTTAAAACTTTTCGGGTAAGACCTGTGTATTTTCTGTTAAAGAAAAGATGCCTGAGTTTACAAAACAGGGTGCATGTCACTAGATGATCGGAAGCCTGTTTAAACCAGTTATCATTTCTCCAATAGATATTTTTTGAAGATTGCTCAGAAGCAAGGCAGTCACTCAGTGTTATACCTATTAAAATAAAATTTCTCAGCCTATGACACTTTTTAGACATTGAAGATTTACGTTGCATACTAGAATGAAATTAGACATTTAAGCAAAATGTGTTGCTCCACCCTCCCCCTCCCCCCCCTTTTTCTCCACCACTTGGGTTGTCAGTGTCCCATCTGCCCCTCCAAATCTGAGACTGTCACAGTTGGAACAATCGTAATCTTGTGCTTTTAAGAGAGGAGAAAACCCTCTGAACTCCCGTAAGTTCTGGGGATGTAACTGAGACCATACTGCTTTCTTAAATGGACATCTTTAGTTATGCTGTTCCTGAACTCTAACATGAAGCCAGCACATACCATTAAGTAGTTATATGCTGCTCATGAGAGTTGGCACATACATAGAACGTTAATCATAGAATCACTTTGGTTGGAAAAGACCTTTGAGATCATCGGGTCCAACCTTTAACCTAACCCTGCCATCCCACCACTAAACCATGTCCCTAAGCACCTCATCTCTCCTTCTTTTAAATACCTCCAGGGATGAGGACTCGACCACCTCCCTGGGCAGCCCATTCCAGAGCCTGACAACCCTTTCAGGGAAGTTTTTCCTAATGTCTAGCCTAAACCTGCCCTGGCACAACTTCAAACCACCCCCCCTCGTCCTATCGTCCCTTACCAGGGAGCAGAGGCTGACCCTCACCTCGCTACAGCCTCCTTTCAGGTAGCTGTAGACTGTCTTTCATCTCTTCAGACTACTACAGCAGCTTTAACTGTGTATTTGCTAAAAAGCACAATTTATCAGACTTTTCACTGAATAGAAAGGCTAGAAAAGCTTTAAATAGTAACAAGATGACCTGAACAGGAACCTAACAAATGTCTCTTTAGGAAAAGGCTGATAACATCTATAAATACTCAGTGTTACATTGCTGGATTTAAATAACCCTTGAAGACGGATCCAAGTTTTAGACCCAAATTCAGGAAGATGCAGCCAACATTGCAACAGTTAAAACCTAGTATGAAACTGCATTTGCACCACACTATAAAACCAGTCCCCTCTCAAACACTTCAGTCTTATTTATGGAATAATGATAAAAAAAATCTGTAGTACATTGGATCAAAAACATGGACCTGCATTTTCTGAGAGTCTGACAATTTAATTCTGCTCACGAGCTGTAGAGATAAATCCATTATTCATTTTGAAGCTCTAGGAAAAAAAAAAAATCCTTCAATTTGACTCCGAATGATGTCTACAAGATGGATAGGTTTGGAAGTCTTGCTTCAGTTGAGTGAAAAAAAGTATTTACAATTTAAGTCTAATGCATTCATTGCAATAAACTGCCATGTAGATTAACAATGTAAAATGTTTTTTAGACTGCTGGGCGGGCAAAGTTGCTAGAAATTGCTATTTGCTAGCTGACAAAAAATACTCAAAAAGTAGTCCCATATGCCAAGAACCACTGGAATAGTAAATTGATTTGCAGTAACTTGGTTATTTTTTGAGAAGTTTTTTTATGAAAGCTTCCGAGTACCTCTTGTGCTAGATTATTAATAAAAATGCAGTTCCCCTGAGAAGATTAAATGAAATAGCATGTTGAAACAAGATTTTTGGAGAAGGAACCTTGATGTCATGACAGAATAATTCATGGTTCTAATGTTAAAGATCTTCATTTTGAAAATGTCTAGAAGAATCTGTTCAAGTGATTTTGTAATTTTTCCCCAAAATGCTAACTAAAAGCAGTATTTGGAAAGTGCTTTTTAAACCATCTATAACGTGGCCAGCCGAGGTGCGATCTCCCACTAAAATTATTTAACAGGCTATTTTTTTCAGAGAATGTTTTAAGCCAGTCAGAAGGATTGTCTTATGATTAGGCACAGGACAGAGTCAGGAGACCTGTTTCTATTCTCATCTCTGCCACAGACTTCCTGTATGACTCTGGACAGCTCATGGCCCTTATCTATAAATTAGGATAATGCTTCCTTCGTCTCAGCATCTCTCAGATAAGTTAATTCACTTGTAAAGCATGCCAGCATCACTGGATGGAAGTATCAACTGCTGAAATGAGTAATACTTCTGAAATGCAGCCATTTGGTTCCACCCAAATGATAAAAATCAAAACGTATTTTAAGATAGCATCCTTTCATTATGTCCCTGTTACAGCATGAATTCAAAGCCCTGGGGAAACACAAGCTGCGGAACATGACAGTTGGAAAGGTTACTTCATTCGCTCTAGACTCTTCCATACCTGTCTTCCATTTGAAGCTGATTCATACATTGCAAAAGGTTTCCTGCATGCCATTTTAGTCACACAGTCAACCAATTCAAAGTGTTTTACAGATACTCCAACAATTGTATGTTAATAGTTCTACGGCTGATAGAGTTCTGCAATATAAGTTTAAGGAGATAAAAATGCATTAAAACTCTAAATCATCAATTTAGCCTGCTGGGTCAATAGCTATAGAAAATATACTGCTCTCTGGAATTCATGGGGTGTTGAATCTCAGTCGTTATCCTAATTAGTGTCACAACTCACCTTCTTTGGTTACACAAATATTAGTACCAAAATGGAAACAACTGTTCAGGCCAGTTGCCTGTTCCGGAGAATAACAAATAGGGCTCAACACTTAAGAAATCACTTGATATCCCGTTGTCCCCAAAAGGTATAAAGCTGAGCTACACAAGAGGCAGAGTTCTGTCACACTGCAGACAGGACAAAGTGACGCTTTAGTAGCTGGTGCTTTACGTACTCGAAGATTCAAGAAACCAACAGGTTGAAAGTACAGCTTAATTATCCTTCACTTCTGATGTTGTGTGCCAGCAGGATAATAGTTGATGCCCAATCCAGAGAATCAGTTCAGAGGAAAGACCTTCAACCACTCTTGAGACATGAAAGCAGGTCAAAGGGCAGCATAGAAATGTTGAAGTTCTAGATGCAATTAATCTAGCCTCATCCAGGAACCGAGCAAAACAATAGATGTTTGCATTTCAAGTATAGCTAGGACAATTGCCAGAGTTGGGGTTGCAGCACCACAGATAAAGTGTTGCTTTTCATTAAATGATGGTAGCCCGTCTCCATCCGATTTGACCAACTGTCATGCTTGTACAGAATTTGGAGGGCTCAAAACTCCCACAGACCATCGTTCTTGAGCCACACTGAATCTCACTGTAGCACAGGATCTTGTCTAGGTTATCCATGTCACTTTCAGTTTCACCTGAAAATAAACTCTGCAAGCAGTTCTGAGGGTGAATGTATATTAAATTGTGACGGTTCCCATCACAATAGTGCTGACTACCTCAATAACTTTGACTGGAAAAGTAAGTTACAAAGACTAAGATTGCACACAAAATCTCCAAAGTAATTGTCAGTTGTATTTTCAAAGGTAGCGTATTGAAAAGTTGGTGCACAACAGCACAGACACAGGAACCCTGCTGCCAATGTCACTTTCAATCCAGAACTGAAGCTCCCCGACCAACACTTCACACTACACAAGTATAGGCTCAGTATTTTGCTTAAAATCTAGACCTTGTGGGTTAGATGCATTTTAGTGTCTAACACAGCAATACTGTTTCCTTGGCTTAAGAAAAGAGCAATGCTTGTTGTCTAATGAAAGAAGTAGCCTAATTTCCCAATTAAGAAAAGTTCTACTACTAGCACATTTTGGCCTACTTGTCTCAACTTTCCTTTGAAGAGGGAAAAAAGTTAACTGTAACCTAATTGTAACAAGCTCAAGAGAAATATTGTAAGTCAGTTATATAATTATGGTGAATGGATATTTATTTCACCAAAACATTTCAGTTACAGGTTAACTCTGTACTAGCAAACATACATGCATATGTTTGATATATCATGAACAGATAAACTACTTAAAACTGTAATGTTGGCACAGGTCTAAAAAAGCCACCATTAGTATAAAAACTTGGCTGTAAAGATATAGCAAAGCTCTTGTTTAAAAAAAAAAAAAAAACAACTTCAGATTCCATAACAGTCATGTTAAGTCTAGAGATGAACTCTTAGGACTACTACTGCCTTCAAAACAGTCTACAACTCTTATTACAATGTTTGCAATATACTTAAGAGTCATTTTTTAAAAACACAGCAGACATAAGTCTAGTGGCTGCTGCTGGTCTACCATTTTCTGGTTCCTTAAGCCATTTCATTCCAGTTTATAAGTGAGTTTGGAATTTGTTGTTCATGTCCTGAATCAGCCTTCAAACAGTTCACTAATTTTTAAGGGAATTATCCACCATTAGTGTATCCACTGACTATGCTGGACACAATGAACTTTGTTGTATAGAAGTTAGGGATCAATCAACTACTTTGGATCCAAGCAAGAAGTACCCAACTACCAAGAGATAAGCTCATTTAAGGTAAAATATACTAAGTCTCAGTCTACTGGGCACTGCACAGACTTTGCATGCTGGTTAGAGCATGCCAGTTTAAAGCAAGGCTTCATTGGCATGTTGTTATTAACAGGCTGGCTATAAAAACTACAGGATATTAAATGCTGATAAACTTTAAGGTAGACTTAGCTGCTCTGTATCGTATTAACAGTGCCAAAGAATCTCTGCTCTTACAAAATTCATCACCACCTTAAAGTGTGATCCCTGCATAACCTTTGAACACAGGATTGCCCTTCTAGTTTTTCCAAAGAAAAGCAGGATTGAAGAACAGCAGTACTTAACCGTGTAATGTGGAGTTCTAGTCCCAATAAATACAGGACACTGTATCCCTGTCCTTCATATTCCTTCCTCCAGAGCACCAGAAAGGAAGGAAATTGCTTCTTGGCTAAAAGCACACAAGTAAAGAAACAGATCTGGGTGGTTGGTTTTTGGTTTTGTTTTTTGGGGGTTGGGTTTGGTTTTTTTTTTGAGTTTTTTTCTTTGTGGTTTGGTTGTTTGGGGGTTGTTTTTATGCAGTATCCATGAAAATACTACACGTTAGTAGTTAGTTAATTGCAGTGAGAACCTCCAGACTCCAATCACTTCCTTAAAAACATTAAATCTGAACTGCCAAGGTAACTAACTCAACTGACAACAGTATATGTAAATCTTAGAAATACATTTAATTAATCATAGGCTTGACTAATTGTTCACTGGCACAGGGAGATGCCCAGTTATACCAACTGTACACTTTGAGACAGAGGCTAAAATAAAATTTTTAAATATAGCTCCAAACAGATTACTATTTTTTTTTATTTTAAAGAATAAAAGTAGAGCATATAATGCAGTAGGACCAAGTAAACATTTAGATATTAGTCACTTCAACAATACCAATATGAATGCTAAATAATTTTAGCTCACCAAGGTCCAATTGTAATAAATACCGTATTAACTAGTATCCTTACAGGAACAACATTGTAGCTGCCCTTAAACACTTTAAATACTATTTAAAACTTAAATAGTCCATCATTATCCAATCAAACAGATCTTGTTTCAGATTTTCAGTAGAATGTTCACTTGTTTCACAAGTTACATTTTTCATCTAAGAAATTTAAAAAAAAAACCACTATACATTCCTTGCAAAACAAACTTCTCTGTAACAGGCTATGAATCTTTACCTTTTCTATAAGAAAACTTCTGACAGCTTGTGTGAACAGTAGTGTGAAATAGAAAAACTGGACTTGCAAGCAGAGAACTTGTCCCATTTTCAAGCTGAACCCAGGAGAATGACGTCCCTCCACTTAAAAGGAAGTTGAGCAGATTACTACGCAATAGCTTTACTTACTCCAGATGGTATTCTCTTCCTTTTATGTACTCTCTGTGTGCTGACCACATAAAGCTAGAGCTAGCAATCAGGTATTTTGCTCTCGTATTGCTTTATCAGTTTAAATGAGATTACACAATCAGGCACTGTATAATCATACTATCAAGGTGTTCTACCTGTACAAGCTGAACTGTGATTTAGGGCACACCTGTACTAAGGTGGAATACTGTCAAATACTGTTATTCTGAAAGAACACCATTAACTTTCTTCCCCAAAACATTCCCATAACCCGTTCTTACCCTACCACAAGCTATTTTCAGTGCTCTTACAAAACAGAAGCTTCAAATGGTCCAGATTATCTAGTGATATGTAGAGCCCTGACAAGGTTGGGATTAAATACTTTATCAGGGCCCACCAGGCAATCTGAAGGAAGGTCATGAAAAGAAGTTGGGATTTTTTCTTTAAGAGTGGTACATGTGACACAAAAAATATTGCTATAATAAGGTTGTTAAAGTTCCCTATGCATGGATAAATATGGAGAAGCTGTAGTCACAGATTTTAATGAAAATGTAGATCAGTTCCCAGAATTCTAGTACTGAAGCCTCTTGAGAAGCCACAGTGTGGCTAAGGTGCACTTGTGAAGAAGACAGACTACACAGGAGGACAAAATATGCCAGTGGTGAAAGACACAAAGACGTGAGGCAATAAATGATTAGAATTCAGTGGAAGAGATTAAGCTCTCAAACAAAACTTCAGCAATTTGAAAGTTCAAAACAATCCAAACCTACGCATCAGTCAGAGAATTAATCCTACTGGTATACTAGAGTAGCTAAAATGACAGGATTAACTAGGACACTAAAGAGCAAGTCAGAAAAATCTAATTCATGAGGCCCACCCTTCCAAGCGGTTCTGCTACCTTGCAGCAAAACAAGTTCCCTGAAGTAATTCCACGACACATTGATAACATAACCAAATCAATCGCTTGCTTTGCTTTGTTTTCAGAAGCATGAGTAGTTTTGGCAGGAATCTTCTGTACAGTGCAGTTAGTGAATTTACACTTTGCTCTATGATAATTTTCACACACTGTTCACAAATAACAAGCTGCTACATTTCCTAAGACTCAAAGAAAATCCAGTCATACATATTTAACTTTTAACCCCATAAGAGTAATCACCTGAACAGGTTTTACAAATACACGAGGAAAAACACTTAGGGCCACTATTATGAGTAACTGGAAGTCACAAATGTAACCTTTCAAGTTTCAGTCAAAAGTATCAGCTATAGGTAACAGCTTTAACTTGCAAAGTAATTAAGCAAAAGCAAGAAGAAAAGTTCAAAATTGTTTTTAAAATTACTATTATTTTACTTGCTAAAATGTTGTTTCCTTGCATTTGCTCCTTGCAGTATTGTAGCACGCTTAAATTTCATCTCTGAGACTAGCACTTTTTCCATGTGAGACATTTTTGAACTATGGGTTAACTAGTCTTCAGTATAATCTAAATGTAAAAGTAACAGCCTCAGTGTTCTGCATAGAGCTTTAAAAACTTCTTCCAAGCCATCATTTATGCCAGTTAAATTAGAATTGTAACATTTAAAGAATAAAGCTTTAAAGTCTTAAAGACATCCCTAATACAAATAAAATAAAAATATAATAATAAAAAATGCTTTCGTAAGCACAGGAACTTACTAAAGGTTCAACATAAGTTTAGAGGCTACATTACAGCCTTTCATCTAACCCCCTTGCCCCCAGTTTAGGTATTAAGGTTTCTCGAATTCTACTTTTGAAAAGCAAAGTAAAAGGGACTAGAGTACTTCTGATATATTTCTGCCCAGATTTCAGCTCTCGGCACCAGATACTCAAGTGCATCTCGTACTACGATTGAGTATCAGAAAGACTATGTTCATCAGCAATCCTTACCTTTCTCTGCAGGATGCTACTGCCAGTTCTCAACCTGGAATATTGCAATGATTAATGAAACATCTCTTTTTCTTCCCCAAGATTAGGTCGAAAAGCAAAATCATCCTCTCACAGCAGGATGTATACACTCCACTACCCTTGTAACACATTTACACTGTTGAACAGGCAAGAAGAGAGGGTAAATACAGGTCCTGAAGTAACTTGGTCACTTTCCTCAAAGGAAGTGGTATAGATGAAGCAATTTTTGTAGATCTTTCTTCAGAAAGTAACCTAACTACTTCTCAGTCTCTTGATGTAGATAAGCAGACTCCATATAAAGTCATCCACACCAACTTTGCCACTAACCATTTTTAGTTTCTTCTTTTACAAAACAATTGAAAACCGTAAGATTTAAGAGGAAAAACTTACCTCTAATGCCAGCGCAGTCTTGTCATAAGCACAGGGTACTCTCTTTTGGATAGCTTTGGCATAGACCGGTCCGTTCTGTGTTGATGGCAGAGGATTGATCACTGCTCCAGGTGTACTGGATACTGAGGGAAGGGGACTTGCGGTTTGAGGCTGAGCATAAGCATGGGCAGGTTCTGGAATACCGTAACTGTTGGAATTCCTGTTTCCATGCTTCCCGTGAGATCTGATTAGCTTTTCTACATAAGGAACAGGAATCATCCCAATCCGACCATCCTTGTTTCTGGCGCTCCACCACTGTTCTTCTGGCTTCTCTACAATTACCAGTATCTCGCCCTTTTTAAATGGAAGATCCTCAGCATCATTGCCAGGAAAGTCATAGAGAGTCCGAACATACTCCACATTTTCTTCTGCAGTGGACATAGCAGGGGCAGATCCAGATCCCACTGATGGACTTGGATACCTAAGTTTAAAAAAGATTTGGTATAAGTGATAGCTATTGTTTTGTATTTCCAGTAACAAAGCTAAGTACCAGTTTTACAGTAGGAAAACCAATTAGAGGAGAATTACTTATTCAGCTTTGTAACAAAAGTGTTGGCTTGGTAGCACTGTGAGGCATTTAATGAGTAACTCATGCTCTCAAGTAATTAGTTAAATACCCAAATTAGCCTCCCCAGAAACCCAGTAAAAATCTATCACAGATGCAGAAAACTGGGAGAAATAATGCAAAATCTTCATCCACCTCTCTTGGATTGTTGTGAGGATCTCAGGATACGCCAAAATTAATTCTATAACTTATCAGAGTCATGATACATAAAAACAAAATTATTTGGATGACTTGGGGTGGAGGGGCTCTTGGAGAGCTAAATAATACTCTTCAGTTCATCACATCTACATTTTTAACTTCAGTACCCACTTCTAAAGAATTCAGTAACTCTGAATGCTAGACTTCAGGGAGCATAGTGGAAAAAGGGAATACAAGGGTATGATAAACATACTTTTGTATCTCAAAGCCAGAAGACCATTGTTGTCTTTCTGATTGATAGTACAGCATCATTCTAACTGAATCCTACTACTTACATGCAGAATTTTGGAGACAGCCAGTCACATTTATACTGAAAACTCTTGTTTAAGAGAGAAAGGCAGATCCTGTGTTTTTAGTAGACAATGCTTTTCCCCTCTTTTCTGGAAAGTAATACAGAATTAAGCTCCCTAATCTTATTTTTCCAACTTCAACTCTCAAAGCAAAACTCTCTGTTATAACAGAAAAGTTATTAGTTTCAAAGTACTTATCTTTACTGCATGTTTAAATACCTAATAATCTCAAAGTGACATCTTCATAAAAGACAATATGTATCCACTGGTAAGAATGGAGTAAGAAATGAAAAAGTTAACCATCTAGAAATATTGCTGTGCCTTATTAACCATAGTATTACCTTTAATTTATTCACCTCATTGTTTATTACTGTGCCCATCATCTGTCCAATACAGTCACTTTATTGTCTGTGATAATATATAAGATTGTTCATCAAATGAGACTATTTTCACTGCAATCTATTTTTATCATGAGTTTTATACATTGTATTCAAAGCAGCTGTCAGAAATCCTAACGTATATAGGCCATAGCAGATACTTTTTATCTAAGCTGCGATAACAAGAATGCATGTCATTAGCCTACTTCAAGTCTCTTTTGCTACTTGCAAAATAAGATGGAAGTCAAATCCCTATGATTTTTGCAAGACTTGCCAGAAGCCCTAAACTGAAAGATACATGCTGCTTTAAGACATCCTGCTGCAGCCAAAGCTGGGGGAGAGAGGGAATCCTTTAGAGAGCAGTCACTCTGCATAAGCAAGAGCTCAGGAACATCTGCTAGGATGGTCAGAGCTCACAACTGACAGAAAACAAATAGAAAGCTTAAACCAGTCAGTTTTCAACTGTTGTACAACTTTAAAATGTCATCTTTGAGAGCTAAAAGCATTGTATGGCTATATACAAATAAACTACTTAATCCTACCACGAAAACCACTTCATACTGTACTTTATGAAGTTAAAAGAATCAGCCTTCAAAAGCACAATCGCCTGAGTGCAATGTTCCCCTGAAAATACCAGAGAAATAAGAATTAGCAATAACAGTTATGAAGCACATACCTGTCCACCCATATTCTAAATATAGTCCATTAACTAAAAATAAATTTTTTTAAAAAAAGAAATCCGGAAATGCTACCTCTCATCATCCCTCTTGCAGCAGGAAGTCTCCTTCAAATAGAATTTGAAACCATCAACCATCAATATGTCATTGATTTTTCTAAAAGAGTTTAGAACAAAAATCCTGCTTAAGGAAAACCACCTAGTTGATCCCATTTGTTGCTTTATAAAAAAGCTTGTCGGTGCACAGTAGGCTACATCCCATCTGTCTCTGTATGCTGGGAGAACAATATACAATCAAAACCTTGAAAATAAGGTGGTACTAAAATGTTAAAGCATTCCGCCCAAGCCTCCTAACAAATACCAAGTGAGCAAGTGGAATCAGCTAGGTTTTCAAGTTTTTTGAGAAAGCCAAGTCAGTCATTGCCATAAATGATTAAGAACAAGGTTTTTACATCCAGAAAGGCACAACAGTATCCAGGTTAAGGAGAACAGAGATGAGCATAAAGATTGCTTCTGTGTAGACTTTTTTTACTCCCAACTGCCCACAAGTTTAAGCGTGCACATATCATTGGGCAGCTCCATTTAGTGTTTCTGCAAGACACTTTTTTTTTTTTCCATCTACCCATCCCTCTAGCCATAGCACAATCACTACCCAGAAGGCTTCTCAGCAAGTTTAAGAGTTCTTGAAGCTAGTGCTTTTTGTCACATTCCTCCCATCACCTGACAGCTATACAGAAAGACTTTTTTTGACCACTTGAGTTTTTCAACTTGACAAGCAATTGTCAACCGTTGACAAGTTACTGATTGTCATTAACTGGCCTATGCCAAGGTTAAAGTGTAACTATAAACCTCAAAGTTATTCTTCCCCACTAAGAACTTGCTAATCTGCAAAACATGGTAAGATTTGAAACTGCAGAATTTAGAAGCAAACCAATTTGAATTTCTTTCTTTAATGTGTCGCTACTTTTCTAGCTTTTAGTTCACTTAATTCATCCAGGAAGCCCAGAAGATTTGACCTAAGATACTGGGAAAGGCTTTATTAATTAAAAATAAGGAATATGTTTCTAGAGTTCTTGACCAGCAGTTTACTGATGCAAGTTCCAGGTATGTCCCATGTTGGGAACAGGACAAAGAATGCGCTCATAGCCAAGTCACATTTTCCCATCCTCCTAGAATAGCATTTCTCAGTGTAGTGCATGCAGTATGCAGATATAGATGAACAGTGACACAACCAAACCGTGAGAAATAAATGTTTTACATTTTTTTGGTGGTAGAAATGCCACTGTAGAAGTTTGGGAAATGCTGTCCCAAAATGTATTAAAGCTGACTTAGCAGGGTGAAGCAGTCTAATCACATAAAGGCCTGTTCTATTGTAGTCAGCGTGGATGCAGGGGCAGACAGAAACTTAAGCTCAGTGGCTGTACTTCAATCACTGGGAAGACTTGTGAACCAGCTTCTCAACCATTTTAGGAACAGAAGGACAATACCAGAAGAAAAGGTTGACACAAAGCATGACCACACCCTCTTCCAAGGCCATTATAGCCAGTGGTAGAGATGTACACGGCACCTTTACATACGCCTACATGTACTGTAGGCATGAGCCCTGTGTATTATATGGATGATTTGACTGAAAGAGCAACCTGTAATGGTCGCAAAGACCCAGAGCACTAAGAAGCACCACTGTTAGAAACAGCTTCAAACTAGGGCCATAAACAAGTGTTTCCTTAGTGTACATACCATGGCCCTACAACCCATGTTGAGATCCTGGAGCTACTACGTCGGACCAAGACACCCCACTGCCTTGCACCACCTCGAGCAAAGATAGCAGCGGGTGGGGTGCAGGGAGGGTGGCACTCACCTGGGCGCAGGCTCGATGAGGGTGGTGGTGTCCAGGTAGTGGATCTTGTAGAACTCCAGCAGGGCGGGCAGGTGCTCAAACTCTTGGTCACCGATCTTAAAGCGGCGGTTGGGCAATGAGTTAATGATGTAGTGGGAAACCCGGGAGTTCTCGGACACCGAGAGCACGTAGTCCCCCGGGCAGGTGGACGAGTCCCGCACCAGGAACATGCCATGCCGCTGCCCCTGCAACCGCGACTGCGCCTCCACCCGAGACAACGGGCCCACGTACCAGCTGGAGCGGTCCGACGAATCGAAACGAGCGGCGGAGGACATGGCTCCGGGTGGGGAAGGGGAAGGGACCGGGGGTAAGGAAGGTGGAGAGCCCGAAGGCCCAGGCCGAGGAAGGGACCCGGAGAAGGGAAGGCCTGGGCAAGGAGGCCTGGGAGGCGGATCGGGCTGGGGGCTAGGAGGAAGCGGCGAGCGCTCAGCCCAGAAGATAGGAAGCCCAGGGAAAGGGGGATAAGGGAGAAGGAAGCTCCGCGCCTCTGGAGGCGAAGGACCGAGAAGCGGCTGGGGTGGGGCTGGCCAGACGCGGCGGTCGGGGCCCCCGAGTCTCCCT